CTGTTTGAAACCTGGGACTTATGCAGGGACGCTTGGCTCAATCTGGGAGGAGGGGACTGGACCTGCCTGGACTGAGTCTATCAGGTCGATCCCAGTCCTCGGAGGAGACCTTGATCTGGAGGAGGTGGGAATGGGGGGTGGGCTGGGGGGAAGGGGAGGGGGTCACGAAGGGAGAGAACAAGGGAATCTGTGGCTATTATGTAGAACTGAATAGTATTTAAAAAAAAAATATATATATATATATACCAAAAATCCAACTACACCAATCTCTCTAACAGTAGTTCTAAATCTTGTGTTTTATACTTCTTATATACTTTTATAATTGATATTTTGAAAATTGTTCAAGATATTTGGAGTTCTCTTCGATATGACCCTAATGATAAAATAATGCCAATCTTTTCCTTAGTGAAGCTATTGTGTTATTAATTGGGTTCCATTATACGTGTTCACCTACCCAAACCTTCAACTTTATTTTACTCTAAGACTTCAATGTAAAAAATTCTCTAGACATTGGGGGGGGGGGCAAAACGTAGTTGATATGACTAAGCAGTACTGATTCTCACAGAGGTCTGTGGGTTATTTCATATGCTTTCTTCATCTGTTCCATTCTTGATTATTTTAACTCTAGGTATAATATTTCAAGTATGTGCCACATATAAATGATTATTAGATATAGAAGACCAAATAAAGGAAAAACAGACCCTGCTCATGAAGGAATGTAGATTTGATATTATCCAAGGATTTATTCCTTAATGGCTTTGTCAACTGTTTGTCTATCCCAAGGACTTCCTTTCTGCCTACTCAGCTGATCTAGGAATGAGCTTCCCTTGTTCAATTGGACCTAAGACAACATTTGGCCTTTTCAAGAGAAAAATGTGATGCTTGGTCAATTTATTAGTTACTTTTCTCTTGCTGTGGTAGAAATACCATGACCTAAAGCAACTTAAAAGAAGAGCAGGTTTCTTTTAACATATGGTTCCTGAGGGATCGAATCCATCACTGTGGAGAAGTGTGGCAATGGGGCAGAGTAAGCATGGCAGCAGAAGCGGGAAGCTGGCTAGTCCCATTTTCATCCACATGCAAGAGGTGGGGGAAGAGGGGGAAGCTGGAAGGAAAAGGGAAGGGGGGGCATAAATCCTCCAAGTGTGCCATCGGTGACACACTTCCTCAGCAAGGCACCACCCACCTCCTAAGGTTCTCTACCATCTCCAAACCACCACAAACTGGTGACCAAGTGTCAAATCTATGAACTTATACAGGACATTTCCCGTGAAAACTACCAGAGCCAAGAAGGAAAACTTTGAACTGAAGTTCCAAGAATCAAATAGCAAATTTGTATGTTAAGACAAATCTGGGGAAATCCAATACAATAGAAAACATATCCTTTCAACCTCAAAGTCCTGGGCATTGTAGTACCCTTTCCTTTTCCTATAATCTCCCTGATTCTTTGGTTCACTCTTAGCCTTCCTCTTCTCCATAATTATACAGTTTATGTCTTCAGAACCCAACAACTCCAATTGCAAATGATGCTCCATCAACAGCTGCCGCCAGGATTGACAAAACAGGCAAAAGGAGTCATCTGTTTGTCCCTGGACCAGCAGCCTAAGAAATTTTCTGGGCGTTCACTAGTGGAGGCTCGGAAGATATAACAGCGTTAACTACAGAATCGGCTAGAGGATTTTGCCCTATTCAGCTTTAGATCCCTACACAGCACAAGCAGTTCAAAGACTGATCTTCAACTCCCTAGTAAATTATGGAGAAAAGTCTCTCAGGGAAGTTGAGGATATGCATAGTGCATAGCTTAGCAATTTGGAACTTCGTTTGGTTACGTACATCCTTCTCCTAAGAATGCACTAGTAACCTGTTAGCGACCTAGAACACTCACCTGCATGGAGCGGTATTCACAACCCACTGTAAACAAGGGAATAGGTTTTTCCTTCCAGTAAAGACCGTTAGACACTGACAGTTTCTCTTCAGTCATACTCCAGTTATACTAGGGTATAAGAATGGGGTCCCCCTGATCCAGCCTGAACTAGTTTTTGTGCGCATGCACAATAAGGAAACTGTGCTCTCAGTGAACTTTTAGGAAGAATACACTACTTAACCATCGTATGACTATGCATAGTTGGGTGTGCATATGATTAAAATCAAACACATTATAGGAAAGGACTTGCATAGCGACAAACGGCTTACATAATCCGCTCTGTCAATCAAAACAGAGAACCACTGACGCTACATCCTTTAGCAACCAAATGGCTCCTTCTCTGAAAGCCCATAGAATGAACCCTCCAAATAATCCGGGCCTTTGAGTGGGCTCACTGATGTGGCCCGCTATCACTCCACTGTATACATTTCTGATTTGTACTATGGCTTTGCACTTAGTTTTGTTGTTACTTTGCAATCCCTGTGCACCGTTTTTTCAATTTCTTGAACAAGGGACCAAGAATGTGGAAACGCCTAGCTCTGAACCTAACAGGAAAAGGCTACCCCAAGAGGGTTGGTTACATGAGAGGGCAGAGAGCAGCGGCACCAGTTGGTATCGGACCGAGAAAAGTCCTAAACAGTCATGTAGACATTATTAAGGGGAAAAGAAACAGGGGAAGGTCAAAAGGGCGTGGGAAGCGGAGCGGAGGCCGAATGAATGGACCAGCGAAAGTTTAGGGTGCTTAGGAAAAGCGAGCCAGCCCATAGGAAAAGAACAGAGGTGAATGCAGACCAAGAGAGGCAGGATGAGCAAGCGGCGCTTTCGGTAGTCCGGGGGTGATCTCTAAAGGCTACACCCTAAGGGGCAGCAGGCATGGGAGCGCGTGCGCGGGGGCACAGCGGGTCCCAGCGCGCCCTCGAAGAGCTCCGTGCGACCGCTGCCAACGGTGGCGGCGAGCACGCGCGCTGCCGCGTCCGCACCACCTC